TAATTATGATTCTTTTTGGTTCTTATAGTTTCATAATTACGAAAAATAGCCTTTTAGTTGTAATGAGCAATTGCAAGTCTGATCCTATCTATCAATTACTATAAAGAAAAACAAATTTCAACAACTGAGAGAAAAGTTATTAACAAATGAGCAGGTGGTGTATACAACTATGCATGCCAAGCATGGAACCCAGTCACCTCCAGCATGGTCCTGCTTTGTAACTATGCATTTACCGAATGAGCTAAGGAAAGCCCGGCAGAAGAGCCGCCGGACTTTAGGTGGGTCTCGGTTAGAGTGTCCACGTCGATGATGTGCTTGATGATATACTTACCGAGAACTTGGATTTGCTCGGGTTTATTACGGCAGTTACTAAGAGCACCGGTCATGTTGACAAAGATTTCCATCCATCTGCGGAGAACATATCGGGGTTGTTGTTTAGTGCTGGTGGTTGTCTCCAGAATCCAGGGGAGGGAGGGGTGATTTTTGTCCAGAAGAATCACCGGAGGCGTCTTGAGGGGGAGCGGGTTGCACCGGTGAATTCGCGAATTCGCTTGCCGTCACCGTCCCCTTCTGGAAGTGAACCATGAAAAGACAATCCGGATAGGTTGTATTTTTTTATCTGTGCTTTTATTTTGTGTACAGTCACGTCTCTACACACTTAAAAAAAATCATGTAAATTTAGGTGCTCTGAGACTGACATATACGAGCGTCATTTTTGACATAAAATTGAGTCGTAATAGACGCAAAACTTAGCTCAATCAAACGTACTTTTCGTCGAGTACCGAACTTTTCAGTCTCGGAGCACTTAATTTTACATGACATATTTGTTTACGTCTCATCCTGTATGTCAAAGATGGATTCCGTCACGTGTAAAATTAGGTATTTCTAAGTGTGTAGAGTTAAGTGGTGTTGGATTAAATTTAGGGTTAGTAGTAGGGCTAGTAAATGTTAGTAAAAATGTACCTATTGTCTATTAAAAATGTTATAGGCTAGTAAATGTTAGTAAAAATGTACTTAGTGTCTCTTAAAAATGTTATAGGTTAGTAGAATTTGAATTTTGTACAAAATAAGTGGGGTGAATCGCATGCAAGCCAGTGGGTACAACAACTAAATGATAGAAGAGTAGACCAGCAGGCGAAGTGGGTCAAAATTTACAAAGGTGGTGATAACAACCCCCCCCCCCCCCCCAACCTCACAGACAGCAACAAAGAAGCTACAACGGGGTTGATGAGAATAAGGAGGAGCGCCATTCCTCATAAAGTTACAGGCGTTCGTGTGCACAAGAGCCATATTTTAAAGTGTCCTTCACATTGTTAAGTGAGTGGTATCCAGCGAAAAAGGGAGAAGACAGCGGATTCGTCAGGTACGCTAATGACCTATCCTACACTTAAACACTAACTAAATCTAGCTCTACGGCTTCTCTAATACATCCCATTACCCTCACAGGACCTTTTGTATTGTGTAAATTCGACTGAAAGTCGCCATTTTGTCTGGTGAGAAGCTCGACCAGGTGCACACGATTCGGCGTAGTAGACCGCGGTTTGCTACGTCTAACCGCAAAGGACCAATCCAACCTCTGGGTCAGCCGCCCGTAAGGAGGCTTTTCAAGCTCGGGGGCGAAACCCCTAAACGTAAAGGAGCTTTCCCCCTCTTGACACGGTCACTCTGGTATCGTCCTGGGCCGTGTCAATCTCCGTCAACGAGGGAGGGCGCCTGAAAGGCTTACACAGCCACATACCATCGTCAAACCCCGCCAAACCATCGTGCGGTTAAACAGTAATTACCCACTGTTTTGGGAATCAGCTTGCCAGCTCGTCGTCAGCAGCAGTAGCAGCAGCAGCAGCAGCGAGCGCTCGCAGGACGCCAGAATAAGCAGTGGTACGTACCGAAGAACGAAGTTAATTTTATCCACACCCACAAATAGAAAAATAGACTACAGAAATCTAACCCAATCCCACCAACACACCAATTTGTTAAAATAAAAAACCTCAAAGTCAAAGTAAATTTTTAAATCAATAAATTCACACTACACAGTATTTCTAGTCAGGTGACCGTACGCTGCACATTTTGTCCGCGAAGTTTCTCGAGATTACCAAGTAGTAAGCCGATCCTGAGACCCAGTTCGAGGGGTCTCTTGCTACTGAACTTGCCGGGAAAAACGAACAGTTACAAGGTCTTCACGTTTCGTCTCTCCTCGTCATCTGGAAGACAGAGATTGGGGCCAGCTTGTACCGGCCCTTGATTACCACCTTGAAGCAAGGTTGCAAATACTCATTTCAGCTAAAAAAATTGTTTTTTGGAATAATAAAACCAAAAGATGGTATGATCATAAAGGTAACTCTAAGACCACTGGGTCCCGAAGAAAATCATTATTATTTTTGGCTCACTCAGTACCAGAACAACGGTCCCAAGCAGTCCCAAGCTATTTCACTCACCCCTGCATGTTCTGCATGAATCCACACACCCCTGATGTTATCTGTCAAACTTTCATAGCGAATCAAAACAAACAGAGTGTAGTAATAGAATTTCAACTAGAATAGGGTACGTTAATCGTTTGCTTGGGACCAATAGGCTACTAAAGTGGTGAGCCAATTTAAAATCGTTAGTTTCGTATTGATTGTTGGTATCACCGATCCTACTGAGATTGTAAAGGGTGTCCCACATCAAATTGCATCACGGAAAAAAACACTGTAGACAATTACCTAGTTGACCGATCCTTTTCAAACTTTCAGACAATAAAATATAACCCATTAGTAAGCTTTTGGCATATTTATTTCATTCAAATTTAATACCACAACCGTACGCTCGCATCTTACGCTTAACTCCACTCATTAGGTGCAGTACAACATCTGGCTGCAGCTTCTTCTGTACGGAAACCCACTTTTATTCATGTCTTCCTCAGATTTAACCTCCTTGGTGCCGTAGTGCCTGCTTCCTAATAGCCCAGTATTTTTCGATGGGCCTTAGTTCCGGTGCGTTGGGGAGTTTCATGTCCTTGGGTACGAAAGTTGGCTTTGTACCATTCCAGGACAACATTTGAATAGTGGCACGAAGCTAGATCCGGCCAGAAGATCGTAGGATCCTAGTGTTGCTTCAAGAGAGGAAGCAGACGCTTCTGTAGACACTCCTTGAGGTAGATCTCCTCGTTTACAGTCCCGGTAGTCAAGAACGGCACACTCCGTTTGCCACATGAGCAGATCGCTTGCCAAATCATGTATTTGTTGGCAAACTTTGAAAGATTCTGCTTCCTTACTTCCTCTGGAACATCAAACTTGTGCTGCCGGAAGTCCGCCGAGACGTAAGTCTCATCATCCATGATAAGGCAATGAGGCTTCGTCAGCATCTGGGTGTACAGTTTCCGGGACCGCGACTTTCCCACCGTATTTTGCCTTTCATCACGATTTGGAGCCTTCTGCACTTTGTACGAATGCAGTCCCTCCCGGTTCTTGGCTCTCTGAACGAAAGACTTGGACATCCCTGACCAAAGCATAGGGATTCCGATGAAACGCTTTCATGACACGCTTGTGATCCTGATCACTAATAGAACATCCATTCTGACCGCATTTCTCGTTCCGTTCGATGTTTAGAATTTCGTAGTAACGTTTAATAACACGACTCACCGTTGACTGCACGATTCCGAGTTGTTTTCTGATGTCCCGATGAGAGAGTTGAGTTTCTTCCTCTTCTTTGTTTGCTTCATCACTGCTGTTATGGTATTTCCAACATCGGTGGGAAGAGTAGCGTACCTATTCGAGATAGGAACACTCGAGCCAAGACGGTTTTAAACAGGTGGGCAGGAACTCACGGTCTCCCAGTGTTGGTGAGTTCTTTGCCGTTAATGTTCACGAAAAGTTCACTATTTTGCTATACAGAAATTCAAAACAAAAATTTTTATCTGCGGATTTGAACAGTTTTTGACCTGTTTCATACTACCGGAAGGTGTATGCTGGTCACAAATGCCGTGCCAAACTGATTTCCTACTCAATTAATCAATCTTTGATGTGAAATTCGCTAATAAACACGAGGCGCATTTCGTATAGCAAACATGCCATAACAAAATGGGCATGGTTCATTTTAGTAAACAAACTAACACTTCTTCCGACTGTGGCACCTATGTATTAGGCGCCGAGCACTCGAGCTATCCTCAACACTGTTCTTCTTGTTCTCCGCTTTCACGATACGACTGGCACTACTGACGCCGTGAATAAACGCGCAGTAAACTCATAGAGGGACCAGAAGGTCCCGAAGAAGCGTGCTCAACTTTGGTACTATCTTCGGTACCAAGCTAATCGATGCACCCCTCGAAACATAGGAAAATCCACGAACCCCTAATTTTATCTGTCAAACTTTCATTGCGCATCAAAACAAATATAGTTCAGTACTAGAATTACGACTAGAATGGGGTAAGTTAATCGGTTTGCTTGGGACCAATAGGCTAGTCAAGTAGTGAGCCAATTTAAAATCGTTAGTTTCTACCGGTTGTAACCGTTCGGAAAGAATGCTCGAGGTTCAAGTGAAACTCGGTGGCTTAAGCGCCATTCCCTTTACGAGAGACCACCGGTCGTGTTTTCTTTGCCCGACTTAGCGACTGATCCTCAGAGGACCACTCGAACGGTATGATTAAAAATCCTTCCTCAATGAAATTCAAAACTTTAACGGAAACTAATCTTTATCGAAAGAACACCTTTATCCGATCCATTTACCATCAGGGAAACCCGCAATCTCAAAGAAATCCACAAATTATAGTCCCAATTTTCATTAAACCTAACGAACCAAGCTAAATCGAATGTGTCTGATGCGAATCCAAGACCAGCCCAAGAACTCAATGGCGAGCGAGTCAGCTAAAAAACCGTGACAGAAAAATAAGTAACTCAACGAAAAAACTTAACATTCATTCGGGTTGGACTAAACTCGGTTCAAAAAGCAAACTATTCATGGCCATGAAAATAAAAAGTACGGACATACCTGCGCAGGTTTATTCGATGCGATGCGATGCGATGATGGCGACGGATGAATCGGTGATGGCGACGGATGGAGCGGTAATGGCGGCCAGTGACCTTACCACGGTCCTGGAGATGGCGACTGTCGACCTTCCGACGACCTGTGATGATGGCGCCGGTCTCGGAATGGCGCCGATCAAGCTGCGGAAATGGCGTGCAGCGACGAAAAGTGAACCGTGTGCGGTATGGCCGAAATTAGAGGTGCGGAGGTAGTGGCGGCTGGACGGAAGGCTTCCGATTTGCTTTCTAGAGAGCTGAGCATCGACGGAGTCGAGCATTTCCCGGGAGATTCGCTCCGCGGAAGAGAGAGACCAACGTACCGTCGCACGACTTCGCGTACTATGTTTCCGCTATGACCGCCCGAGATGAAATGTAATCTTCTCCTCTTTAGTTAAAATCCGAACCGAGGTACGCAATTGGCTTCGTACTTCTGCGGTCCGAGCTCTCAAATGTCACGGCCCCCGGGGTTGTAACGTAATGGGGACTCTACCAACGGCTTTTGGCGACCCTTGGGGAAAATTTCGCTCAGCAAACTTGCGGCTTCACGACACTCCGTTTATCTACCTACAAGAGGCGGGCCTTCGCAATGCACCCGGGTCTTGTCCAAATCCAATGGACGGAAATGGCGGCCAAGTTGACGCCACGATAAACCAGACGGTCCGGCGACGATGGAAGCCGAACTCGCTGAAAATTCCAGCCCGTACAAAAAAGCCCGTTGAACGAGCTGTCCAACGCGAAATCACAAAATTACTCATCTAGTATTTAAATTTGCAAAATTAATTAACAATTACCTTTTTGTATTTAGATACACTATCTACAAAGCGGTTTGAAACGCGAACTACTTGCTACAGGCAAGAAAAATCTAAATGCACAAAAAATCTATCGAATTAATTAACTGGCTCGAACACTTCTTTTAAATCAATCACCTTTATCTTTTTGATCGAATTTCACTGAGTTCACACTTGACTGACGAACTTGAACTTGAAAACCGCGTCAAACACCACTGCTTTCCAGCCGATTCGTTGGCGAAATGGCAGAGACTAGAATTTCTTTTTCCCAAGAAACCACGGAATTTCTTAAAGATAAAGGGATCGGATACGGCGCGAAAAATCAATGTTCGGCTTAGCCATTTTACTCAGGCGTTCATTTAAATTCTTTCTCTTTCACGTATTTCCCAATCTATAAATCTATATTAGACCTGTTCATTTTAACAGAAATGTTCGGGATGCAGCGGGTCAACCGTGATTACCGTAAATAATAATACGTTAAAGGCTCGAATAAATTGACGATTTTCCTTAGAGCAATCAGAGAAACAGGTAAGACTAAATTAGTCTTCACAGGTAAACAACACATGAAATGCAGGAAGTATTGATTTTTATTTTGAGAATATATTTTGATTATGAACAACAATGAATAATTAACATTGAAACAAAAAAAAAACTTCTAATTATAACGAGGAGCAAAGATCAACAATCGCCTTTTTGCTAAGTTCCTTAACCTTTTTGCGGTTGGAGAAAATATTCGCCACTATTGCTCGCTTTTGATTTTCATTCTTGGTACCAAAATCGTTGTACCTTTGACCCAAAGCTACAGCTCGTTCTGCTGAATCGTTCACAACCGCCAAACTACAACACACATCTTTGGCTTGTTTGTAATTCTCGCTTGTTTCCCACTCAGAAGGGTCTTTCTCAAGGAGAAACTGGGTGGGGTTTTCATTATGTCGAAAAAAATCCAAAGATCGTTCGCTGATGTATTCAGAAAGATCGTCCTGTTCAACCACTTTATTACACTATTCATAGTCCGCGATAGGTTCTGCACCATCTTACGATTTATATTTTCGGACAATCCATCGTCAAAAAATGCAAGGCACACGTTTTGCTCACCAAGGTACTCCAAATGTCGCATTAATTTGGCTTTTGCAGAAATTGCAATTTCCTTGTCCACAGTTCTGTATTCTTCCAGAGATTTCAATAGATTAAAATCCTTCCTTGGAGCAGCCGCAGCTAAGGGTGCAGAATACCAAGCGTCCAAGTAAATTTTCACTATGAACAGGCATACCCTTTTTAAAGCTTTTTGTTCTCGAGGACGCAAACTAAATTGGCATCTGAAGAGGTAAATTTTCAGTGCGTAAATTCCCCGAGCCATCCAGCGCGCACGATGCATAGCTCCTAAAAGAATAATAAATCATGCTAAAATTATTCTTCAATGCAATCATTCAATTAGCCTTACCAGGAGCTTTCACTTTGATTTTCAAACCATCATATTCTTCAACTCCAACCAACAGAAGCGAAAGTAACAGCATTTCTCGATAGTCTGCACGTGTAAAGGACTTTTCCAAGAAACCTTTTGTAGTAGATTCAATCCTCTCTACGTCTTCAACTGATATCTCCGGTGAAGGCTCCATGGGGTCGAATTTTGTAGAGTCGATCGTTTTCCAGGACTTCTGGAATCTCTTAAAAATGGCAACGTCTGGTCCGCTAGATGTTTCCTTCATAGCTAATGTGAATACTGCTTCTAGAATCAGCTCCAGAATATGGTGCCGACACGGGAAATGCAGCAATTTTCGTCCCAGGCGTTCCTCTAACAAAGCAACCGCACCATTGTGTACACCAGAGTTGGAGGCAGTGGTATCATACCCAATAGCTTTAATTTGGTTGATGATTCCCCACTTTTCTAATTCTGCATAAACACCGTCTGCGGTATCTCTTCCAGATCCACTTGGAATGATTGGAACACCAAGTAATTGCTCATTATTATTGCCTGTCACCGTAATCGCAAGTCGCTCGTCTGGTTTCTGAGTTGGTCCTTTCGACATTTGCTTGGTATCCATGTGTAATACCAATCCATTTCATGATGAACTCAGTTTTGCCGATGTTTTCCGTTTCAAGTCGGATCTGTTAACAAAATGAATACCAAATATATGCTTAAGCTCATAATAAACCCACAAACATTACCGTTTGGCGGTATCTACGGACTGTTGACAGGCTAGAAGAAATTTCGTTGCTATTCAAACCCAGCTCAATCCCACTTGCTGTTAAGATGGCCGCGGCGGCACTGTACGAGACCATGCTTCTATCTAAAAGCGTGAGGGTATTTGCGCTCCATGGAAAAATCTTTTTCTTTTTGCGATCTGGTTCCAAATATTCATCATCCGAATTTTCTGCTGCAGATTCTGAGTCTTGCATGTTTTCATCTTGCTTGATTACATAGCTTAATGTTGCCTGTGCTGTAATAGTTTTTTGTTATTATAATTTTTAATGTTATATTATCCATCAAAGCACCTATCATATACTTACTCTCCATCAAGGCCTCATCATCTAAATCAATTTCGGGCCTAACCAACTGCTGTTGATGTGCCACATTGAAAATTTGGTTTAGACGATTTTCCCATCTTAAACGCATGTTATCATAACATTTTCCGACCTTTTTTTTTTTTCTTAGCGATATGTCATGTTCGCTGGGTGCGGATGTTCGTTATTTTATAAATTTCTGTTATTAACTGAGCAACTATAGCGCTACCCTGGGGAACAGATTTTTGTTCTTTGCGATGGTAGTGAAAAAATACCAGAAGAACTCGTCTTGCGGTTGGTAGACAATTTCTTTCAAAATGCGGTCTTACCACACCAACTTCAGGGATTGTAGCCCTTTCCACATCTTCCATTTTGGATGGCTCGAGTGACACTTGCCTTTGATAAAAAAAACACGTCTACTGAGGATTCATATTTCTAAAAAAATCATCTATCAATGAAACAGTCATCGGTCGTCATTGAAAAGCAATGCAGCTATGTTCTGTCAATCTAACTGAAACTTTTATTGGCTCTGTTGTCTTGTGAGTTTTAGCTATAACGGCCTCTTTTCTGATTTTTATCTCTCAATCTATGGAATAAACACGAAAACTATGTTTGAACGAAATTTCTAGAACAGTATAAGGAACATTATGCCGTAGACTACACATTTTTATATGATATGGGTGGAAAGTTCGTAGAACAAATACTTTGAAATTCTTCACTTTTTAAGATATCTTCAAGCATTAAACTAAGTCATACTTCAATAAAATCACTTTGAATAGTCAACCTCTAGCCACAAAGTTGGTAGATAACACATTAAGCTTCGCTTTGAAAGTTATTACAGCAGTTTTCGTTGTTTCAGTCTCGAGATACAAATTTTATAAGCCATAAATTACATAAAAAACATAAAATTAACTTGAAGCACCTCTAAATCATCTCCGATTTTGCTGAAAATTTGCACAGAAGTTCAAATTAACATGACGAACAGTAATCACGGTTGACCCGCTGCATCCCGAACATTTCTGTTAAAATGAACAGGTCTAATCTATATGTAGCTTTTCATCTGCTAGCTTGCTATAAAAGCTTCATATCTACAAGCTCACTTTTATCTTGCCATAAAAATCCCGACAAATGTACGTATCACGAAGCTTTTTGCTACATTGCATTGGAAACGAATCACTCTTTTCTAATTGCATTGAAATTCTTAATTAATTACAAGGTTCAAATACTAACCATAGCTAAAGGGTGATACGGTCAAAATTTGGTCAAGGGAAAACGCGTGTAAATCGGTGAAATCGTTTATTTAAAAAATCAAATTAAATTTCTTTTTCAAGTTCAATTAGTATAAAATTCAGGAAAAATATTCAGTTAGGCTTCCGCTTTTCCAAATCCGATTTGCCGGGCCTTACGCTTGACCCCTGCCATCAGATTTTGTACAGCCACCTTGTCCACCTTCTTTGCCGCAGAAAGCCAGTTTGCCTTGAACTGCTGCTCGCCCTTAGCAGTTTTTTGGTCTTCTTTAGGTTCCGCTTGACAATAGCCCAGTATTTCTCAATTGGGCGGAGCTCTGGCGTGTTGGGAGGGTTCTTGTCCTTGGGAACCACCTGCACGTTGTTGGCGGCGTACCACTCCATGGCCTTTTTACCGTAATGGCAAGATGCCAAATCCGGCCAAAACAGTACGGAACAACCGTGTTTCTTCAGGAAAGGCAGCAGACGTTTATTCAAACACTCTTTCACGTAAATTTCTTGGTTGACAGTCCCGGAAGCTATGAAAATGCTGCTTTTCAAGCCACAGGTATAGATGGCTTGCCAAACCAGATATTTCTTTGCGAACTTTGACAGTTTCATGTGCTTGAAAACATCTGCTACCTTTCCCCTTC